TATACAAATTTGTATAGGCATCAATATACAGTCTAGCTCAAAAGTAATCCCTACCAGTAAAATTTAAGCAGCGTGGATCATTCCACATATTCAGATATTACTTTACAGAAGAATAATCAAACTTTCCCTTCTAATAGGATTTAAACAGCGTAAATAATCTTTCTTAACCTTATTTTCTTGGTAACCAGTTTTTAAAACGCCAAGTCCCTACCCCTGAGACTGCCATCCTCTATCACTCCTTTCCACAGGCCGAATGCACTATAAATGTGCAGACCATAAGGTGCCAAGCGTTATGTCAGATGGTCGCTGCCCAAAATAGATGTTCCAGGGGCAGTAATGGTGGCAAGCGGTCGAGGAGGGCGGCTGTTACAAGGCCAGTGCAGATGGTCGCAGGCCAGGCAGTAGAGAATCAGTGCTGGATAGGGAAGCAGGCAAGGCAAGGCTCCACAGCAGCGAGGGCAGGCAGAAGAAGAAAATGCCCAGCACACAGAAGGGTGTCCTGTTTTCCGCCTAAATTTGCCAGCATGATGGCAAATCTCTCTTCCAGCACGCCAGCTGGAAGAGGTAGATTGTGCACCCTGAAGTCTGTCTGCTTCTCCTCCAAGTCATTTAACATTTAACATATTTACATAGTTATACATCTCACAAAACATGAAATATATACATATGTAGACTGCTTCCAATAAAAATGTATTTATGATATTTATTTGCATATTTATTTTATAGAATTTTTATCCTGCATTACCATCATAAAATGAATTCCAAAATTTTGACACTAAACACCAAAAGTAGACAAGGAGTTATTGCAAAAAGAAAATTCTAATGTTTTCTTATCCTTTGAGATCTCAGCATTATTTTTTTCTTTTAAAAATATTAACACTTTGTTTTGCTTTTTACATTCCACTTTGCAAATTCCCATAAACTTAAATATTTAAAACAAATTGTAGTACTTTTTGCAGTCAGGTCCCAAACAGAAGCTTTGTTCCTTTCCTTCAATAGTGTTTGAAACTCACATAATTACTCAGGGTACTGAAGTCTGATAAATCTTTGGAAATGTCTTGAATGGGTTGGCTGTGATTTCTGCAGAGGCCTTAGCTCTTTGTTATTGCATCCCCAATTAGGTTTTTTTTCTTTTCCCAGAACACATTAAATCCTGCTGCTTTGGTTTGCAGAATAAGTCAAGCATTACTGATTAAGAATAAAAACTTACTTGGAAAAACCATGGGGAATGCAGGGAGTTGACAGGACCCACCACAGCATGCCAAGTAGACTGGGAAGGCAGTTAAGAAGCGTTTTGGGAATGCTGCAAAGACAAAGTTGAGTCCATTGAATGGAGAGCTGATATCTTTTATGCTACATGCTAATCTATTACAACGAATTTGTATTTTGGCTTTGTTTTCTTTATGACAGTGGAGTCTATCCCAAATATCTATTGATGGCCCAGCATTTTCCTCTGGCTAAACATAAACATGGAAAAAATGTGCCAGAGCCTTTTTCAAAAATTTTATCAAAATCTCTTTCATCTCAAGTATCTAGTTCCAGACTCTAAGTAAACTTCTCATAATACATTTTTCATGGTTTTTACTTTGCTGTTTTGTAAACTATTCATAATTCCTACCAAATACTTTTGGGAGATGGTGTTGTTTTAGCACTGATCAGAAATGGTTTTGCAGAATAGTTAGTATAAGCAGGGATGGAGCAATGGAGTTAATATAAATAGATTTAACCCTAGCTATTTCATCTTATTTTGTGACTCTTACCTGATGCAGTGAAGACTTAACCATTTGGTTCTTTCAGTATCCATCAGATACATTTGAAAGTTAATAATTTGCAGGAATATTTCACATGCTATTAGTGTTCTGTGATTTGCCATGTTGATCAGAAGATACTTTCTCTGGTATGGCATACTTTTTGGGAGAATTCCTGTATTTTCACAATGATATCTTGCATGCATAGGGCTTGCTGAAAATAAATTTAAGTGGGTTTCCAATTTGACTTTTGGGCACCAATCCATAAATCTCATTGAATTTAATTAATCTGGCTTACTTTGTTTTTTAATTGCTTGTTTATAATCAGGACACCAATTAATTTAAATTATATATACAAAACAGCTCTCCTTTATTGTTTTTTCTATCTCTCTTTCAAATATTGCCATCCCCTGCTATATGGCTGCCCTTGGAAGATATGTGTTTCTATACGTGCTTGAAAGATACTTTAGAAGATATAACAGTAAAATAGTTAAAAATATCAGAATCTGCAGTGAAGCAGCTGGTCCTTCATTAAACAAAATAAGAATAAGAATAAGAAAATGTATTATTGAGAAATGGACTATGTGCATTCTTGAATGACATCCTGCAGGATAAAGTTCAAACTTAGATGGTAGAAAAGAAATTAAAGTAAAATGACAAATTACTTATAACCTGTATTAAGTGAACTGAATAAGCATAGAGAGGATTGCACAAAGAAAAGAATGTATAAATTTTTATCTGAAATTATTTAGCTTACAAGAATTAATTCAGAGAAAACAAAATAAGCTTAATTTTGACAGGAACAGGCCCACCTGGCCACAATTGGAATGATTAAGTAGAATTATTTCATTATTGACCTAAGAACCTCTAAGCCAGGTATCAGCTATGTACCAAGTGATTGTGGGTTAAAACACTTTGACCTTAGTATCTTACTTAAAGGTTATTTTGGCCCTGCCCTGTTGCTTCCAGGTTGCTTCTGCCTCATCTCACCAGTTCTTTAAATGTTGAGGAATGTCTTCCTGAATCCCTGCACCTCAAATCTTGGGATTCTGGTTGTGTAATCATGGCAAGCCCTGAAAGACTCTTTCTCAGCCCATGGGGTTCACATTCCCGTGAAAGGCAAGTCTAAGGAAATCCTTAGATAAATAATGCAAGGAATTCCTGGAATTGAAGTCCACTCATCTTAAAGTTGCCCAAGTTAAGAAACACTGCTCTATGCATTTAAGAGTTACTCCATAATATGGCATTCCATAATATCTTGCTATTGAGAACAACTGACTAAATAGTATTATGACTTTTGTATATTATGATTTTTGCCCTTTTGGTCTACTGGTTAAGACACCAGTCTGAAAGCAAAGAGACTATGAGCTCTATTCCCCCCTTTAGGTATGAAATCCGGCTTGGACCACTCACTCTGTCTAATCCCAACTCACTTCATAAGCTTCTTGTTGGAAAAGTAGGGGCAAGGAGTATTGTGTGTGTTCAGTGCCATGAGTTTTTAATAAAAATAATAAAGGTTGTATATAAAGTAAAACAAGATAAAATAATCCTTTCATCCCAAAGAATAAATCAAAATTAGCCAAAAAACCTCATTTTTTAAACCTCCACTCAGAATATAGATAACCCCAACCCCATCTTGCTAATGAAGTCGAGTGACCGGCCACAAGCCATGCCCCATGGTCTCTGAGAGACAAAACCACACTCCTATGGCACTCCAAATATCTAACTTTAAGCAACAGCCCTGTTTCCCAGTTGCTCCAAGAACAACTGAAGTTCTCAGCCCAAAAAGTTGCATAGCCCAGCCCTAACTGTCATTTTGGTGAATATGGATTTGTTCCAAGGCAGACACAAAACTCTCCCACTACTTCCATATGTTTTAGAAAGTATCCAATTTCATTCTACCAGTAAAAGGAAAGTTGTCTGAGGTATGCTACCATTTACTGCTTTGTAAAGAGATCCCTCAATACATGGGAATTCTATAAAAACATGTTTTTAAAATGCCATAAACCTACCAAGTTTGGGGACAAAGTAGTGGACTATATATGTTTATTTATGAATAAAATTCCTAGAGGATAATATTCTCCTATGGTAGATACCTAGTTCATGGAACCTGACAAACAGACAACATAAACGGATACTCTGTCCCCTTTCTAAGGCCAAAAGACTGCTATTGCAACATTGGATAGATGAATGTATGGCCCCTTTCACTCAATGGATTGAAGAACTAATTGCACTAGCCACCAGTGAGTGGATTTCCTCTAGACATAGACTTTGTATGGACAAGTATCATGAAATAAGGGTCTCATTTATACAGAATACAGTGGATTATAAATTTCTGTATAAATTTGTCAGAAATATATGCTTCCATGATATTTTATAAGACAAGTAAATGTAGAATTGTAGCTGTTTATTGTTATAAAAGACATGTATTACTTTTTTGTCATCTTTGTCACTTGTTTATTATATCACTTTTTATGTGTACTCTTTGATAATGCATATATCACTAGCATTATTATTGTTATGGATTGTTCTTTTCTTTTGTTGCTATTAATTAAAAATAAATAATAAATAAATAATGCATTGGCATTCTAGTACTTTTAAAAATGAACAATTTGGCCGCTCATCATCACACCTGCAAATAATCTAGTATCCTGTAATTAACAATAGAACTCAATTGCTTGAGAGACTATGTACCTAAAGACATCAGAAACAACATTTAAGATCGGCACTAAGTCCCACAATATATATAGCAATCATGCCTAAATCATTTCATTCCTCACTACCCACATCAATGATGGAATCAATGACATTAAAATGATAGGCACAACTGGGAAATTGAAAATTGGCTTCTTTTTACATGCATGCACATTAAATGCACATTTTAATGCACATTAAAAAAGGAACAGGGCTTTGGTTCTTTACTCTAACCTTGTACCATCCTTCAAGTGCTATCATCCTGAAGTTTGGCTTGAGTTTTGCAAATAGACTTTTCTCCCCTTGAGGGCTTGCTTAATTTGAAAGATATTGTTCTGAAACAAATGATCTTTTGGAAAAAAAATACAACATGAATTAAGAGCCTCTAAATCTTGCCACAGATCCTTGAATCATAACTTTAGAGAGTTGAATGGTTTGGTTCATTTTTCTTTTTTTGGAATCCAAGTTCAGTCAAAGTTATTTTGTGACTATGCCCAAACATATTTTGGCCCTAGGAAGTTTCTTCCATTTGTCTCAGTTTTCAGGTTGTAAACTGGGTCTCTTCAGGGAGGCATGAAATATTATCCTAGTCAATGGAGAACAGCCCTCTCTTGGCCAGGATAACTTGTTGCACTGTTAGCTAGTTAAGGCTAGAGCAGCAGCTTGTTACTAAAAAAAAAACAAATGTAGAGACATCCCGTGGCAGACAGAGCTTTTGTTTGTGAGTGCACAATCACTAGCTACAGGTCAAATGGAAGCCCATTCACTTGTTGCATTGTTGTTTTTCTTGTCTGCATTTCCAAGGACAGAATGAGCTTATCTATATTGCTTGTTGCTGCTATTTCCAGTACTTTTTGTTCAAACATGCAACATATTGGTTGCAGAATAGCAGTGGTGAAGGAGGAGAGATGTGAGCATACAAGCAATCAAGTGATGATGTACATAATACATCATGTATTGGCCAAGTGTGATTGGACACACAAGGAATTTGTCTATGGTGCATTTGCTCTCAGTGTACATAAAGAAAAATAAAATAGAATACATTAATCAAGAAACATAAGATACAACACTTAGTGAAAGTCATAGGTTACTAATAAGCAATCAAATTATACTAGGAAACAGATAAAACAATATAAATCTTAAAGATACAAGCAACATGGTTATAGTCATAAGTGGGAAGGGATAAGTGGGAAGTAATGCATTTTTATTTTCAATAAATATGCATAAGATTTGGAATTACATGCTTGCAAACCCCTATCACTGGTTTCAAGGTAAATTTGCATTGAAAATTGACTACAAATCAGGCAGACTTATTAAATTGAAAGATAACTAGTTAGGTTAATCTTGCGTATTATTTAGAGATTAAGCTATCATATCCTTGCTTCTATCTAGTGGCTTTTTGCATTTGAGCTATGAAAATTGCAGTAGACATTGTTTTATCTCATTACTGAAGTAGAAATCCACACCCTAACCTTGTTCCATCCAAATGGTACAAGGTAGAAATCCAAATTATATAATCCCATAAAAGTAAAAGGGATTGAATCAAAATGAAACTGCTAAGGTGTTAGTTCATTACCATATTATACTTTGTTTCAAACTACATTTGTTCTTCTTTTCAATGAACAGACATCCCTGGTTTCTAACATGTAAAACAGAATAACATATTTCTAACATGTTATTCTGTTAACTCCAAACCAACAATATACTTATATCACCAGGCTCATATATTTCTTATATTGATTTCTTCCTGTTACCTGTCTCTTAAGACAGCATCCCAACACAAAAGTGCCCCACACTACAAATATCAGCAGCTGCCTCAGATATCTGAGTGGGTGACTTGAAAGGATAATTAATGCTATTT